AAGTTCATGCTGTACATTATGAAAAAGGAGAGAATGCATTTCATGGCTTTGATGTGGGCATCCATGCTGAGGTCCTTCATGGAGTTTGTCTGCATGTTGCGTTTGTGTCTCCAGAGGGAAAAGAGAAGCAGAAGGGCAGAAAAGATGACTGCTGTGAATGGAGTGGCAAATCCTAAGCCAATGATAAAAGAAACGGGGAGAAAATGTTCCTCTATTCTGATCCTTGCTTCCCAAATACATTCTTGGCAGGTCAAATTGAGGTTTTTACAGAGGGCTTTATCAGCGACGTTGTAGACAGCGGTTCCGATAACCAGGGAGAAAAACACTGACCCCAACAAGAGCCAGGGCACCATCCTGTCAACTTTTACTTTCAGGTAGATGAAGAAACTGTTCCTGAAAGTGGCAATTTTTATACAATAAAAGACACAAAGACAGGCTGAAACCCAAAAGTTGGAACAATTAAGAAAGTTCTGAGCACTATTACTTAGCTGAAATATGGGGTGAACATGAAGATACTTGGGATAAATTAGTGAGAGAAAGGAAAATACCCATGAGACGCACAAACACCAAAACCTGGAGGATCCCAGTAACAGCAAGATCTTCTCATTAGAGTTCAAGGTTTTCTTTCTCACCCAGGTCATGCAAATCACAGAAACAATGAAAGCATTTATCCACATGCCAGGAAATGCCTCAAAGGTGATGATGGCCAGAGCTGTGGCATCATATGAAGTGACATTGAATTGCTCTGGAGAGTAACAACCTTCCATCCTGGGAGCTGGGAGCAGTGCTGTGCTGGACAAGAGGGCTGTTGCACCACTGCCAAGCACAAGTCAGTGGCTGCTGTTCCCTGAGTGTCCCGTCTGGAAAGAGGAGCTTTATAGAGCTGCTGGTGGGGGGGATTGTGGTGCCGCTCCCCTTGAGAGCAGGGCAGGTGCAGGGATGTAAATGTGCTGGGTGTCCCCTTACCTGGTGTCAGTGTCACTCTGCAGTATTTGAATGTACTGTGTCCTGCAGCAGGTCCTTTGGTTTGCCTGAAGTGGCTTTCCCTTGCACAGGGCAGCCTTGTCCTTGCCTCACTGAGACCCCCACCAGGCCCCAGCTGCCAGCACATGGCCCAAGCACCTTGTACGTCTGCCTGTGGGTCACTGTGAGATGACAACAGGACTTTATTCCATGCTGCACCTTGCACAGATCCCACTTTCCCAGGTGTTTTACTAAGAGACTCCACTGGGAAGAGCCGATCTCACCTGCAAGTTGAAAGCAGAGCAGGAGAGCAATCACACAGAGTGGGGCAATCCTGTTCTTGCAGGAAGTGGGGCAGAGAGGACACTCAGGGCTGGTGTGGGAAGTGGGCTCTGCACCCACCTGTGCACCCCACGGCCATTCCTGCATCGCTGCTTGTGCGTCAGTGACCACCCCTGGAGAGTGACAGGGATCAGCATGTTCACACATCAACCTCTTATCAACCCCTGCCAGACAGTGATACAGCTCATCATATTATACTAGAACAGGGCCACAGCAGCAAGAAATGTAAACTAAAACAGAGAAACCTATTGTTTAGTTCAGTCATTTCATCAGCAAGTTCCAAAGCATTAGTGGCAGGTTTGCAGGTGTCATTATTGCCCTTTTGCATCCAGCCCATGCACCAGGTCAAAATGAAGTTCTTATTGACAATAATTCAGTTTAAAAATTATCTAAACTAAACTACATGGAGAATGAATCATTTAACTCAAAGTATTTTAGTTCAAAGAATTTGAATGCAGTGTCCTTAACTGAGATGGGGAAGAGGGAAGCATCATCTACACTGCCAGGAGCTTTGCGTTACAGATTAAGGGACTTGTTTACTACAGTAAAGGGTCAACCTTTTGCATGGGCTCCAGTTTTAGTTACAGTTCCTGTGTCATGCAAAACTTGCACTTCAGACAGGGCAGAATCCTTAACAGTGTCATTTCTAGACTGGGGTTGCTGAAAATCAGAATGAGGGAATGAACACCCGGATAAGCATACATAAATACATAAATCATCAACATAATGGGATTTTCCTCCTTTGTAGAATAAATCATTCCTGCAACCAAACATATAAAGTTGATGCTGTACATTACGAAGAAGGAGATAATTGATTTCATGGCTTTGATGTGGGCATCCATGCTG